AAAAAAAAAAAAAAAAAAAGACACGTGCGATCTGCCAAGGATTGATGCCTCGCGTGAAGAAAGCCTTTAAACTTCATGCAACCAGCCCGTTGGTTAGCGCGAACATGACTATGATTTTCGGTGGTTATAAAACTACCGAAACTGATAGTTATTTACAGGGCCTGCCGTGTATCTAATGTTTAGCCAGCAAATTCTAATAACTGTTCTTCTCAATTGCTAAGCAAGAAACAGGTTGAAGAATTCCAGGATAACACGACGATACACTTGTCGACAATAAAAACACAGTCATTAATATCTAAATTTTGATTCATTGTGAGAAGCTAAATAAAAAATATAAACAGGTAAAATATTTAGCTTTCATTTTTGTGTAGGAGGATTCTGATCAGACGTGTACAGTACCTTGTTAGTGTTTTTGGATTCGCTTCTCTCCTGAATTCTAATTTTTGCATAGACATTAATTTTGAATTTTTTATCAATAGCACTTGACTTAGCCTAATAACAACGTGGCGCAGATATCGCCATTTCTCTCCTCCACTGAAATCAGCAATGGAGGAGAATTTCCATCGGTGCGCCATTTTTTTTTTCTTTTTTGGTTTTGAAATTACCGAGCCCTTAATAAAAATATATATATCTTTAAACGAACTTATGAAAATTTTCATAAAATATATTTAAATTTCAATAAAAATAAATGATGTTTTTATAGTATTTTCGTTAGTATTAAAAATTATTGTTATATTTCAAAGCAATGGTATTCAAACATTTTAACAGTGCGACCCCAAGGTAATTTTCCCCATAGATTGAATACCTTTGTTTTAAAGTATTTTGTTCAGACTTTTGTTCGTCAATTTGGTGGCGTACTTATGGGACGTGGGTGTGGATAGTATCTTAGTGATTTTTCCCTCTCGACAATCTCATAAGAACTAAATTGAGTTAATTCTATTTTATCTCTTGTTAGTACAGCTTTCCTCTCTTATTTTCTACACTCACCTGTTACAATTTGCACCAACCTTTAAACTTATTTTCGATTTTATTATATTGTCAAAATATGCTTATTTTCTTATTTTTATTAACTATAGAACACAAGTTTCCGGCATTTGCGTATACTTTTCCATATTTGGGTTGCAATAGCACCATTTCTTTCATTTCGTCCACGTCTCACAGATTGCGGCTTTCAGAGAACATTCGTTAGGTTAATGTAATCGTTTTATTGAAAAATATTTGAACTCTTTCTACCTCTGGAAGGTTTCCGTCTTACTCAGTTTCCGGCTTTTGCACGCTTTACTATACAGAGATCTGTGTATAAAGTAATGGAGATGCCCGATACTTTTGGGGTAAACTTTATAGCCATGTTAAAAGTTTAGCTTAATACCTCTACTAGTTACTTCCGATAGTCCTTTAGAAATTACTCACATAAACTGTATCCTTTAGGTATACCATAAAAAGACATATGGCGAAATTAAGTCCTGGATTGAGTAGCCACAATCCCTTAGAAATGGTGCAATCATCAAAGAAACGATCCAGATTTCACGAAAGCCACAAACGAGTTCGTATAAAGTAGACTTATTTGATTTAATAAATAAAAAACAATACATTTTAAATATGAAAATCACGAAACTTTGATACTTATAATTAATCTTGTTTTTTATCTAGAAAATAAATTCCAAATCGAATATGGCGGCAAAAACAGAGCGTGGAGGCACAATTACGTTTCTTAATAACTGTTAAAAGACACAATAATTAAACAATAGACGAAAATAACAAATTCGAATAATTGATTTCTATTGTCATAAATGTCGTCAATAGAGTATTTTATTGGAACCGCGTATTTCGAGATTTCGCGAGTAAAACAGACAATTATCACAATTTGTTACTAGCTTCAGACACCCAAAAACAAATATTATTTTTACGTAATTGAAACCTCGAGAATTAAACTGCAATTTGAAAAACGGCAACGGCAAAATAGAAAATTATAGAGTTTATAAATTTATATAGGGCTTATATAAAAGATTAAGTATTTCAATGCCAAGACGTCGACAAACTTAAAGGGTCGTGTGGCACTTTCTCGCCTATTTCGAGATTTCTCGCGATTGCGTCAGCCAGCGGTCGGTCGGTCCGGTTATTTAGAGTCGCTCGTCAAATAAATCTAAAAGCGAAACGCGATCCTCTCAGAAATCGGAGTAACCGAGACGACGACGACGACACGTCCTCTGCCGTCGGAAATACGAATTAATTGGTTTTCTAAGCCAATTCGTTGCGTAACCGAAATGCAGTTTATGATTAAAACGATCCGTTTCGTCTTTCGTCACGCGAAAAACGAATTATTCGGACATTAAATGCCGCGCGCTTTTCGTCTACCTCTTTATCGTTATCGAACTCGTTCCTTTCGCCGTCTTAAAAAATTTATTTAGAAAAATATAATGCGTCGCCAGTTTCACTCGGGCCGGCGCGTAGGAGGGCTTAGTGCCGCGAAGCGCGGGAGGCGCCGGGGACGACGCCGAAGAAACCAGTGCCGGCGCCGATCGGCGCGGCGCTTCCGGCCAGCGACCGGACGGAAGGCCAGCGTAGCGCATGCTCGTCGGGCGGCCGGCCCAAAATCGTCGTCGCGCCGGCACGTCAAGAGTCCGAAGAGGAAAGGAGCAGCGAGTCGGGCGGAAAGATCGAGGGGCCGCCGGAAACGGCCCGGAAGGTGAGTGGCGGGCCGCGACTCATACATCCGGCGCGGCGTGGCGCGCGCCCTCCTTCCGCGCCGGAGCCCGATCGCTCGTCCGCTCTCCTGGCCCGGCGTCGGGCCTCCCGACCGCGGACGGGTGATTGGGCCCGATTTCAGTGTTCTCTCGAGCCGTCGGCCGCTTCCTCCGGAATCTCGGGTCGGCGGCGGAACGAGGTGAACGTCCGGCCGCCGACCGACTCGGGACGACCGCGGGGGACGAACGGCCGCAACGCGCGCGCGATCCTCACCGGCCCGCCGCCGACGAATGTTACTGACGCCGAACCCGAAGCGGCCCGAGACCGGCGACGAACGCGCCAGATTTAAAAAAAAAAGAGGACGACGAGCACTTTCCCTTTCGTTCCCGCGCGGGTTCGTCCGCCGATCGACCCAGCTCTCAAGGTCGTTTTCTGCCGTTGGCCGTTTAATCGGCGCCACTTTTTTAAAGATCGCGCGCGACGACCGACGCTTTGCGCCAGCTTGGCCCGAAAAGACGAGGTTCCAGGATATGGCTTATAGAACCGACTAAGCGACACGCGCCGGGAAAAGTACTCTTAAATTTCGGCGCGCCGCCAAGTCAGTTGGCGCGCGGCTAGATTTTAGGGGGGTCAGAAGAGAGGTCCCGTATTGTTTTCGGTCAGGGGAGCGGCGCGTGAAGCGCAGAGTCGAGCGCAGGTTCGTCCCTCGAGGCGGACGGATAAAGGATAGGTACGCCGGCCGCGATTCGCGCGCGTCGATAGGTAGGTAACTCGGTAGGTGACCTCGGTTGGGAAGACCCGGTTGGTGGCGCGCCGGTCGAACCTCACCGCCGTTAATGGGACGTCCGTTAAAGAGAGAAATGGGAAAAAATCGGAAGGTGGAGGACGGACGAATCGCTCTTCCCTTCGTTGTAGTCACCGTTTAGTTCTGTCGTTGCGCACCCCCTCGCTACCTTCTGCTGCGTGTTCTGCGCTCCCCATCGCAGGTAAGTAGCGCGCTACCTCCGACTAACGGTCGTTTTCGGTGTCGGAAGGAGTGTCGTCCCACCTGTCGACCCCTGCCGACGTTTCCCTTCACGTTCGCGTACGCGTGGCGTCGACCAAATTCGAGTGGGACCAGGAATTTTCCCGGACGCGCGCTCGACGTTTTTGGTGACACCCGGCATTGTTAACCAACGCTTTTCAAACTGCCCGACTGGCTCTATTTTTTTTTTAACCTGCATTCAACGGCTGGAAGAACCTCGAACCGAAGACAGGCGAAGTAACCTCTAAAACGTGGCCAGAAAGAGCCTTGCTGCCGAATACACTTTTTAAAAAATTCCGACCGTTCGTACGGTTGTAAACGGACCGGTACTATCGTGTGTGAGTGTGTGACGTAGGCAAATAAGACAAATGTTTAAACTGAGGTAAAACGGACGACTTTCGTTTGCCGAATAATTCGATATTCGTTTGGATCCACCAATTAAAATTTGTTTTACTCGCAGATTTATCTTCATTTTTTTTCTGTGTGACGAAACGTTTGCGTGAAAGACAATGAAAATCCCGTGTTGGAACCTTTATCCAAAGGAGGATTTTCGTGCAGGATTCGCTCGTTAATTATTATGCACTGCCAAAAAACAAACAAAAAAAAAAATCCAGAGGAACCCCCTAAACGTTAACTTCGAATACCGAATAATTATGAATTAATTTATTGTCGTCCTCCAGAAAGCCTCGTCTTACGTCTAAATGGGGTTTTTAACTTTCTATACCGAAGGCTAAAACAAAAGAAAAAAAAAAAAAAGAGTGAGAGAGAAACACGCGGCCCGGCTCCATTAACAATTCCAAATTCGAAAACGTTCAAGAATTTGAGCCAAAGAGCTCGTGCAGATACGTAATAAAATTTGCACTAATCGTAGCGCTTGTAACTTCGGTTGTTGGAGCGGCTTTCTGAGAAACCCGCCCCTTACACACTGTGCTTTTTTTTTTTGGCTTTGTTTTCTACGTTGCTGGCCATGAAAAAAAATTAATAAAATCTGAAACGTCGGTTCCTGTAAAACTTATTCTACGTTTTCGCGCGATCGGCGTGACGCAATCCGACGGATTAAATAACGATAAATACGATAGGAGGACCGGAAACGAGTAAATATATACGACTGGTGTAGAATAAATGGAGACGGGGTTATTTACGTCAGCCTGTGTTAGTTTCGTGTTTTCGTCCGGCCTTTGTTGGAAGTTTCGCTGGGCTTTACGAGAGTAAGAGCGCGTTAATATTGGGACGAAAATGAGATCGAATCGACGCATGCGTAGTCGAGTGAAAACCGTGGACCAATAGGGTACGTTGGGAGAAATCGTATAATTATTCTCGGCGCGAACAAAAGTTTCCGTTTACCGGAATAACTAATTAAGAATAAAATATTTATACGCGACTTTCCGTTTACCTGTGTTGACGTTTCACTTACTAGACGACACGTGATTCGCAATTAAAAAAAACCATTCCCTATATTATTATTTTTAAAACTAAGTGAACTTTTATTTTGTTATTTATTTATTAGCTTATTGCTTATCTCTAATTTCCACACGAAAAAATGCAAATTATTATTATTATTCCTGTGTAATTGAAAGCGTTAATTAATTTTTCGATGCTGACCGCGAGGATCCGGGTTCGAATTCCGTACAGAATCGCATAAATTCTCATTAGCAATACTGGGGATTGGGGGATCGTTTCTTTCCTCACCCACCTTGATCCGACCGTAACGGACGAAATCGCGGTATATTCTGTAATTTGCTAATGGTGTTAATTAATTAATCTAGTTTTCTGATTAGTATTTGCGAATTCGCCCAGCACGCGGAATACGTTAGCCAATCGCGAAGAATTACGAAACGAAGCTCGACGAATCCGGTACGTGGAACAGAAATTTGAAATACGTAACGACATTTAAGGTAGCCCGCGGATGTTTATATCAAACGTAAACGTAACTTTCGTGTTCTTTTCATTGCGTAATTTTATTCGTTCGCTTCACCCGAATAATATTTCCGCTAAAATCAATTTTATAAAAATATTTCCTTGTGTTGCGTGCAACTTTATTAACTCGTTCTATCTTTGGTATGTCTATCGCACTCAATTCTTTCCCGATTTAATAAAAAAAATATATCGTTTGAGGTTCGTCAGTTGTTGTTATCGAACATCTTGCAGAGCTTTTACCTTTTAATTTCTGTTTCCGTTTTTAGACGCCGCAGGTAAGAAATACAGTACAGTACCTCCCCCCAGATGCTATGGATCCGAAACGAGCTTCGTGGTAATTTTTCCGTGTAATTTTAAGAATTTTTTTGCAAAAGGGCCCGTTATTTAGGCAGTGAGAAGGTCCCTCCAATGTTTTAAACCTCCACTTGACATATTAATAAGGTTAATTGACTTTAAATAGAGATTGAAAGTTGGCATTTCATTTACCATTCTGAAAAGTTTGATCTTCCAGACACTTAAATTCCCCTTGGCTGAAGCCTATAATTCTTAACCAATTACGTTAATTCTGTTTATAAATCGCAATTTTGATTGGCCGAACGTAAGATTCCTTCTGTCACGACGTTGTTGCCCCTGAAATGGCTTCCTAGCATATAACGACGTCAAGTTACGCTACGTTACGAACTGTACTGTATGTGTGCTTGTCTGAACGCGGCTTCATTCAGGGATAATAAAATACAACAACGTACTGGAGTTCAAAGGTCTTACCTCCGTAACACGTAATTATTATTGTTAAAACTGAAATATATATAAGCGAAAAATAATTACTACCGTCACTTATGGAGAATATTTTTCGGTTAAAAAAATTTATTTTGTAGAAAAACTTTTCTGAAAATCAAGCAAAATATCAATATATATTGTCTATAATTTTTATTTATTATTATAAACAGAAATCTTTATTGTATAGTCATAAACACTATTGTAGAGTTTAAAAATCGAACTTTCTGACTACAGCAAATAAAATATCATCACTTTAAGGGGTGTTAGTGTTCTTAAAATATATAGGCGAAGAAGTGAAGGTAATAAAATTGGAAAAAGTAATTTAAAAATTCAAGTGGTTGGCAATTAACGCCTACGGTCCTTTCGATTTATGCATTTTATTTTTGCTTAGAATTCGAAGAACCTATTCATAAAATGGACAAGAGAAGAATTAAAACCTTTTGTTTTCTCCAAAAAATATTATTATTGAGAACGAACATATTTTTAATTAACAGTTTAACCTTTAAATTTATACCAATTTAATTAATTAAAAGTCCAGGACGACAATAACATAATATAAAAGCATGAAAAAAATTTCAGAAGTAACATTAAATACCTTCACAATCCATCTATCGTAACACGCCAGGAACACAACAGCCTCATAAAAAGGTCGACTCAGCCATGAAAGACAGTTCTTGATGTGTTACGACAGACGAATTTTGAAGACATTTAATGTTACTTGCGAATTTTCTTTAGACTTAAGATATAAAAGCTCGTTTATAAAGTTGGTAGCCGCAATTACTTTATGCATTGCAACGGTTAATTAATAATAAAACTTTAAATCCTCGATCAGATTTATCCATTTTTATTAATTATTTAAAAATAAATATACAGTTGGCCCAGATTATCAAGAAATAATTTTAAGCTTCCAAATTACAAGGAATGGTCCTAAAATTTGATTGGATTTTTTTTTTTAAATTTTGGTGTTAAATATTTTACACGAGTTAAGCGAAAAATATCAAAATGTAACGTGGGTCTAGTGTAGAATTTTTTCTTCATTTCGTTCGAAACGGAAGAGTTAACAGACTTTGTCACTCGATTGTTAAGTTAAATCTTATTGTTTAGTCTAGGCTAGACACAATACAATTTACCTTCAGTTATACGATAGGGTACAGTACTTACACACGCGTTTATTTCGAATACAAAATACGGCGTGGCAGAGTAACTTCAATTATAAAACATTACAAATGGGATTTTTACGAATATTTAAATTTTAAAACATTAAAACTCCTGCTAAATTTCCTGATAACTTATTAATCTTCGTAAAAATATGAGGAGTATCCCCATAAACGTAATTAATTTAACCAATCCTGGCATTCTATTACGCGAAGTTTATGTGTAGAGAATACAATCTGATTTTAATTCTTATCGTAAAATGTGTAGGTATGGAAGGAACAAACGAAACCCATTCGAGTTTATAACTTTTTATGGAAAAATTACATTCTAGAAAGCTGAGAAACGGATAAAGAAAACTTTAATAACTGTATTCAACCTACTTTTAAAACAAATAGATTTCTAATTCCCTATTAGATAACAAATAAGTATGCAGAATAGTAATTGAATATGGATTCAGACTGTAATTTTTGTCTGGTTTAATAGGCAAAATAAAAAACAGAGAAAGCCAAGATTCCTAATAAAAGTTTTTGAAGAACACTCACTTAACAGAAGGATGCATTTATTGATAGCAATTTCCGTTACAATCAGTCTACACCCTAGAAGATAGGAATGTGTATTGATAATAGAGTAATTTATTACAAAGTAATAGGTCAAAATAATTTATCTGTAGATAAATTAGTATTAAACGAGCTGAACTATGTACTGCCTTTATCAACGATTAGATTTTATTACGAGAGGAACCAACGACTCATGCTAAATTCAACTTATTTACGGGTCCTCTCGATTATAGGAATTATCACAAAAAATCGCGAAGATACCGATCATATTCGAAGTTCTTGTAGATCTAGGGGCGATCATCTATTAATTTTAACTGTGTGAACAATAATTTAAAAAATAAAAATTGAGTACAGAATTAAATAATAATAATAATGTGGCACCTTCATAAATGGTTGTCGATAAAAAAAAAGAATAATAATAAGAGGAAAATTTCTGTACGATATGTTAGAAAATTTTAAAAGCTACCCAAGAAGACCTTTCTTTTTCTATAAACATTTTTAATTTCCTAAACACGCTATTTTCTTTGGATTGCATGAATAATACGCACGTTCAATC